GCCGGATACCGCCCATGGGGACCAGTCCGGCTTGGTCCGCTGCCAGCGCAGAATCACCGTGTACCGCAATGGGCGGTTACTGGTGGAGAACCTGGGCCAGGCACCGCGAGCTGACCTCTTGCATGGGCAGAATGGCTCTGGGGAGCCACCAGCCGCCCTAGAGGTAGAGCTGGTGGACCCAGCGGGCAGTGATGGCCGCTCAGGCCCGGGCAGTGCTGGCAGTGGTGGGCGACGGCGGCGAGCCCGACGCCCCAAGCGGACCATCCACATTGACTGTGAGAAGCATATCACCAGCTGCAAGGGTGCCCAGGCCGACGTGGTGCTCTTTTTCATCCACGGTGTCGGCGGCTCCCTGGCCATCTGGAAGGAGCAGCTGGACTTCTTTGTGCGCCTGGGCTATGAGGTGGTGGCACCCGACCTGGCTGGCCACGGGGCCAGCTCAGCCCCCCAGGTGGCTGCAGCCTACACCTTCTATGCGCTGGCAGAGGACATGCGTGCCATCTTCAAGCGCTATGCCAAGAAGCGAAACGTGCTCATTGGGCATTCCTATGGGTGAGCCAATGCTGGGGTGGGGATGAGGGTAAGGGGTGGGGGCTGGCAGGAACTGGACACCCACGTACAAAATGCTAATTTCCCTTCTTGAAAAAATCCCATTAACATCTGCCACAGAACAGTGATTCCTGCCACCAATGCTATTGTTTCACATTGTTCTAAAGCAGTGTCTCAACCTCCAAATTATTGACATTTTGGATCAAGTAATTCTTTTCTGTGAGGGGCTTTCCTGTGCACCGTAGGATGTTTAGCAGCATCCCTGACCTCTGCGCATTAGATGCCACTAGTGCAATGGTCTAGTGATGATCATGGCAATCAGAAATGCCTTCAGATGTTGCCAAAGGTCCTCTGGTGGGCAGAATCACCCCTGGCTGAGAAGCACTGTCTTCGACTAAGTTCAAAAATTGGTTTCTCTGAAGACCACAAGGGCTCCAAGGATGGACTAATTGGAATTCCATACATTTTGTTTATAAGGGCTCAGGTTGCCGTAATTCACTATCCCTTAAATGAGTGATGGATAATACCACCTTTCTTTTGATGGGGGGAAGGTAATTAGGTTTAATTGTTTGTTTGTTTGTTTATCTAATGGAGGTACTGGGGATTGAATCCGGCACCTTATGTATGCTAAGCACTCATTCTTACCACTGAGCTATAACCTCCCCACTCCATCTAGCATTTAAATTAGAGTCCACTCTATGGAAGGCTCTGGGGCGGGGTGCCTGATCACTGCCAAGTGGTACCATTCTGTCCTTTACTCAGGAAGAAAGGCAGGATCTGATCAGCCAGCCAAGTTGAGAACCACTGTTTTAGCAGTTGCAGCCCATGCAATTAGCCAAGAAAACGAAATGTTATATAAGTTTCCAAAAGAAAGGAAGACAGACTGGAAAGTAACCTAGCTCCTATTTGTTTATATGAAAACATCCCCCAAAATGGATGGTTATGCTAAATAATTCCTCCAGTTAAATGACCACCCATCTGTGGAAATACCTCTTGCCCCTTAACTATGCTATGAAGTCAGCACAGTTACTATGTGACAGATTTGAAGATGGAAGTTCAGAGAGGTTAAGCAGTTTGCCCAAGTGCACCAGTGAGTCACTGGCACAGTCAAGTGCACCCAACTTCTGCTTGTATCCTGTCCCTCTTTTCAGCAGGAGTTGGCAGATTTTTTCCTGAAGGGCCAAATATTACATATTTTAGATTCACAAGCCATACTGTTGGTCTCTGTTGGAACTTCACAAGACTACTCCAGGAAAACAGTCATAATTGTAAACACATGGGCATGGCTTTGTTCCAATAAATCTTTATTTACAAAATATCTGACATATTTACAAAATTGTAAACTTAGTTGACAAAAACAAGCAGCTAGCCCACAGGCCATAGTTTGCCAAATGAACCCTGCTTTAGGGGGAATGAGGCCTGGACTGTGGGGGCTCCTCAGGCTGCACCCTTCCACCTTGCATAAGGCCGGCAGATGTGCGATGCCCAGAGGCCGATGAGAGAAGATCCTGAAAGGGAAGGGATATGCAAGAAACAGTCACCTTCTCTGAGAAGCCAAAGGGTTTGTTCAATCAAATAGTTTTCCTGATACTTGGAAATTAATAATTCTTACCTCTTTGGGGGTCATGGTGACTTTGAGGATTTGATGAAAGGTCTGGATTTGGATCCTCTCTCCAAAAGAAAACAAAAATCCATGTTCAACACACACACACACAGAGACACACAATCTCACAATACCAGGGTATTTGAGGTGCCCCACCCATCCCTCACCCCCCCATCTGGTGTCCATGGATCCCAGGGGAAGAATTTTGGCCTTCAAGGACCTGCCTCTGGGTGAGGGGAGGGCATTAACCCCCTCCCTGCTTGTATCCTGCTGACCACTGCCCTTCAACCCTCCCCACCATTCACCTATGGGGCAGGGTCTCCTTCTGCACGTTCCTGGCGCACGAGTACCCAGACCTGGTGCACAAGGTGATCATGATCAACGGAGGGGGCCCCACAGCACTGGAGCCCAGCTTCTGCTCCATCTTCAACATGCCCACGTGTGTCCTGCACTGCCTGTCACCCTGCCTGGCTTGGAGCTTCCTCAAGTGAGTGACCCTGGCCCTGCCCTGGCATCTCCCCGAATCTGATGGGAGGGAAGGTTGTACTGCTGGGGCTGGCATGGGGGACACCCCTGGTGGCCGAGCTGGCACAAGGGCTCCAGCGGTGCCTCCCAAACCCCAGGGCCGGCTTCGCCCGCCAAGGAGCCAAAGAGAAGCAGCTGCTGAAGGAGGGCAATGCGTTCAACGTGTCGTCCTTCGTGCTTCGGGCCATGATGAGTGGCCAGTATTGGCCCGAGGGCGATGAGGTCTACCATGCCGAGCTCACCGTGCCTGTCCTGCTTGTCCACGGCATGCATGACAAGTTTGTGCCGGTGGAGGAAGACCAGCGCATGGCCGAGGTAGGGGCATGACACCCCGGCCACCACACCCCACCACACCCCCCTTGCACAGCCTAAGGGGACCCTGACACAAGTGCTCCAGCCCCAAGGAAGTCAGAGCCTAGATCAAAAGTCAAAGGTGGAATCCAGGAAGTGGGGCTCCTTGGACAGGTGGTGGGATGTTTGTGCTGCCCCACTGCACATAAAAAGGCACTCTTCCCAGCTGGGATTTGTGATGGGTTACATAATTCTGAGAGAGGGCTTTAAATTAGAAAGGGTCTTTAAATTAGAGTCAGAGATCTTTAAATTAGAAAGGGTCTTGAGGTCTTTAGTGCTTAGACTAGCTCTGGATCAGTGGTTCTTAACCAGGGATAATTCTGTCCCCCAGGGGACACGTGGAAGTGTCTGCAGACTTTTTGGTTGTTATGACTGTGCAAGAGGGAGGTGCTACTGGTGGCTTCTGGTGTGTGGAGACCAGGGATGCTGCGCTGCCCAACACCCTAGAATGAGCAGGCCTCACCGCAGATAAAGATCCGGCTCCAAAAGTCTCAGTAGAGTGGAGGCTGAGATACCCTACCTTAGTGTGAGAGACCTTGTCTGCGTCTCTCAGTGATTTCTCACCCAGGTGACTTTGCCCCCTAGAGACATTGCCCCCTAAAGACATTTGGCAATGTCTGGAGACATTTTAAATTGTCACACTGTGGGGGGTGGCGGGGAGTATGATGCGATTACTGGCATCTAGTGATGCTCGAGGCCAGGGATGTGGCTGAGTATCATACAGTGCATGAACAGTCCCCATCCCAGAGTATGATCCTGCCCAAATGTCACTAGTGCCCAGGTTGAGAAATCATGCTGTGGACATACTGTAGGCACTTAATAAATGTGGAATGAATGAATACCGAGTTGGGTTCCAGCAAGGTGACAGGTCACCCTCCAGCTCCCCCTTGGGTGGAAATGGGGGAATATAGGATAGACTGCAAGAGAGACATCCTGATAGATAGCTAGGGAGTCTCAGGGCAGCCTGGCCCCGAGGTCCGCCATCCTGCCTCTGCCCGTCTTGAGCCTGCGTCCTCCGCAGATCCTGCTCCTGGCCTTCCTGAAGCTCATCGACGAAGGCAGCCACATGGTGATGCTGGAGTGCCCGGAGACGGTTAACACGCTGCTCCACGAATTTCTGCTCTGGGAGCCAGAGCCCTCGCCCAAGGCCCTGCCCGAGCCCCTGCCTGCGCCCCCAGAGGAGAAGAAGTAGCGACTGAGCTGGCCGGGTATCACTTAGTGAGCGGAGGAGCAAGAGGAGGAGGCAGGAGCCGGCGTTGGGTCTGCAGCGCTGATCACCTGGGCGGGCCCTCCGCTCCGGTGGGCGGGGTCAGGTCAAGGAGACGCCCCCAGGCCGGCTGGGCAGGACGTGGCATTCGTGGGAGCCAGGTGCGCACAGTGCTCTCTGCTTCAGTCCTGCGGTGACCATCAGTGTTTCGGGTCCATAGCCGGGCCCCCCGCAGAGGATGACCTTGTACAGAAGCCCTCTCCTCCACAACACCAGGGCCGAGGCAGGCCCCCACCCGCTCTCTGTCTTCCGTGTCAGCCATGCTTGATCCTGGGACTCACGAGCCCCCAGGGACCCTCGGGGCCCCTCCCCAATGCCAGAGACCCCTTACCACCCCCACCCCATTCCTCGGCGCTGGGAGCTATTGTTGCCCAAGGTGGGGAGGGTTTGGGAGGGGGCTGGGGCCACCGAACCTGCACATCTCAACTTGTAACTCAATAAAAAGTGACAATCCAAGTCTCCGGACCAGTGCTGGATGACTTCAGGACGGGGTCGCCCTGATCTTGTTTCCCCATGTGCGGGCTGGACTTATGGTGCCTCCCACTCGGGGCTGGCCTGCAGAGACTTAAGGATATGGTCGGTCCAGGCTTGCTTCCTGAGTTTCCCTCCCTCAAAACGCAGGGGCTACTTGGGCAGTATTCCCAGAGCAGAAGGCTGTATGGGGCCGAGCTCCCGGTCCCTGGAGGGGAGAAGGAAGACCAACTGAGGTCAATGCTGAAGTTGAGGTGAGGATCAGCGGCTGTTGCATCTAATTAGAGTAGCCATAATTGATGCCAGCTCCATGCAAGGCCCTGTGCTGGGTATCTTAAACCCAGAGGTTCGTCAATGCACACTACACAGCAAATTGGTACCTCTTACTGTCCTGTTTTTATCTTACAACTTGATCGCTTTTGTCATAAAGATGGTTTTTATTTTGAATCTTTTTTGCCTGGTGGAAGGATTTCCCTGCTCAGTGGCTGTGCTCTTGCTACTTTGTATCTTTTTTCTTTTTAAGGAAAAAAAAACTTTAAGAGGGGAGGTAATTATTTTATTTGCTCATTTTTAATGGAGGTACTGGGGATTGAACCCAGGACCCTGTGCATGCTAAGCACACATTCTACCACTGAGCTATACCCTCCACCCCTCTCTATTGTATTCTAATGTATATATCTCTAGGTTTATTTGTGGTTTGTGTGGACGGTGGGAGGAGAGATTTGTCTCCTCAGCTGCTGCACATTTGATCCTTTCCCCACTGGTTTGTGACCCCACCTTTAATTTAAACCAGGGGTTCATACACGGACACTGTCGTACTTTGGCAAATTCAGGAGACATTTTTGATTGCCACAACTGGGAGTGGCGGGGGTGGGGGTGGTGAAGGAAGTGCTCCTGGCGTCTGGTAGGTGGGGCCCAGGAATGCTGCCTGACACCCTAAGACACACAGGACAGCCCCCGCCGCAAGGAGTAACCTGACCTCAAAGTCAGTAAGGCAGAGGTGGGGAAACCCTGTTAGACAAATACCATCTCTCCTGGGCTTTTTGGGGTGGGGGGCGTCTGGATTCTTTCTATTTGCGTGTTCTTGGGAGATGGCACGCAGTTTCGATTGTTATCGCTTTATCAAGCAACTACTTGGTGTCTGGGAGAATTCCCTGTCTTACAAATGAGCAAACAGAAGCTCGGAGGGTAGTTTCTTCAGCTCAGTGAAAATGGTAGCACCCAGGCACCCTCCATGGGCAGGGACCCTAATTATCCACAGAATACTCGGGGGCTTAGCAGTGGAGGCAGTGGAGGAATGGAGGCCGGTAGCACCTTGGCCTGCCCCCTGCAAGCCCTGGTTCGCTGAGCCGCAAGACGGACAGGTGTTGAATCCAATGAGGCAGCAGATCTCACCAAGTCCAGAAACCCTCTAGACTGTTTTGAAGAAACAACTTATGGAAAATTTAAATGATCCCATCAACACTATCCCAATAGTGGCTTGGCATTTACTGAAGCTCTTTGCATAAAGTCGGGGTTACTGATCTCATTTTACAGTGGAAGGAACAGGTTCAGAGAAGCAACGCCGCGAGGCTCCAGTCACACAGGGATCCCTAGGAGTGCTGCTGTCTCACACCAGCACCGGGAAGACCTCCCCAGCCCTGCCCACCCCTCACCACACACAATCGGCCCCTCGAGAACATTCCGGAACCCTCCCCCCTTCCCCCAGAGACTTTCCACCTGGGCTGCAGAGCTGCCTCTGGCTCAGTAGGGCTCTGAGCAAACACTATCCCATGACTTCATTTAATCTGATCCCCACAATGACCCCCTGAGGTAGCACCTCGCACTTTCCCCAGGCTCAGAGAGAAATTACTGGTCCGAGGTCCCATAGCTGGAAGCAGCATAACCCCGTTCTTGAGCTGGGCAGATTCCCTTCGTGTAACAGATTGGAAGCCCCTGGCCCAGCCCACACTGTGGGTCTTCTGTGTCTGGGAGATAAAAAATGGATTCTTTGCACAGACAGGACCAAACTGCCAAAGTATTGGCATGTTTCAAAGCACCAGAATGTCCCAAAGACCCATCTGGTCTACTTGTCTCCTCTCGCATCCCCTTAGTCTCCTCCCATGACAGAGAGCTCACTACCTCTCCAGCAGTTCCATCTGTAATAAAGTCCTTCCTCAGTCTACAAGGGAGACCTGCCTGGCTGTTCCCCAACTAGCCCTCTGGAGCTAGAGATGGGGGGCTGCTCTCACAGGGCAGCTGAAACATTCAAACACTCTGCTCTCTACCTAAGCTGAATGGCAACTCCCCAGTGTTCAGCCACGGGCCTGGATGTCCTGGGGCCGCAGCTCTCGCTCACCCTCAGCCAGGAAGACAAGGAGGGCACGGTGCAGCAGATGTACCCCTAAGCGGCGGCGCCGGTGCAGTGGCCAGCCTGCCACCACTCCATAGCAGTGTCCTTGCTTCTGGTTGGTCAAGGTCTGGATCCCTGAGGAGATTGGAGGTTAGGTAACAAAGGCAGCCTCCAGGAACCCCTGGCAGAAGTATATGCCAGTGAATGCACTAGGTATTGCCCTCGAGCAGGAGTAAACCAATGGAGCAAAATATGTACACGTGCAGATACACAATTGGTAATCAATAACTGCTCACTGAACAAATGAACTGCCCTGATGGAGGAAGGGATGAGGAAATCAGCAGATCTAGTGCCCTTCATGTGACAACCCCCACCACCAACACACACACAAGCCAGGCACCCACCTAGAGCATCCACAAGACATGCCTCTCGAGTGTAAGCCTCCACGGCGACCACATGCTGGAAGCAATGTAGGGAGACAACTCCGCGACCACTGGCCCAAATGTCCAAGATCTGGCGCACCTTGGGACAGGCCTAGGGAGGGGGGCCAAGGCAAGGGGTTAGGAGTCCATCCCCCAATTCCCTCCTTCTTCTGCCTGTCTGCAGCTGGGCTGCTGCTGCCATGACCCTTGTCCTTATCCTCACACCTGTTTTCCTGGCCGCCCACGGTGACTGAGGGCCTCCCAGAGGTGGACATCTGGCCGGGCCCGTGTTCCCTTGCCCACATAGAAGATGGCATGTACAAAAATCCGAAGGCATTCAGCCAGGGTCAGTGAGAAGGCCCGGGCTGGCAGGTCCTGAGTCTCCCTAGATGAAGCAGACGGCTCAGAGAAGAAACGGTGATGAGAGTCACCCCAGAGACAGTCTCTGAAGTCACAGAGCAAACTGAACCCACGTCCAGTGACTCCTGTTACGTAAAAGGCAGTGGCGGGGGTGGGAACTGTTCCCCCAAGGACACTCAGCAGCTTCAATTGGATCAAACTGTCTTTTTTCTTTTAATAAATTTTTTTTAAAAAATTGAATGAAAGATTCTTTAAATTCTACAGTGCTTCAGTTTCCAAAAGTTTCACACACATGATTTCATATAATCCAAAAATAACTTTTTAAATTCTCCTATATCGCCCCTCCCCCATCCCCTCTCCATTCTGGTAATCACTAGTTTGTTTTCTATATCTGTGAGTCTGCTCCTTTTTTGTTTTATTCACTAGTTTGTTGTATTTTTCAGATTCCATATATAAGTGATATTGTACAGTATTTGTCTGTCTCTTTCTGACTTCTTTCACTTAGCATAATGCCCTCCAAGTCCATCCATGTTGCTGCACATGGCAAAATTTCATTCTTTTTATGGCTGAGTAGTATTCCATTGTGTGTGTGTATACATCAATTATATATAAGATATATGTCACAATTATATATATATATAATTATATATATATCACACCAATTGCCTTTTGTAAATAAAGAAGCTGATGACCAGAGAAGGCCAGTTTCCTTCTTAAGGACACACAGAATATAAGAACCAATCCCAGAATTTCCAGCTCCCACTTCCGGGTGACTTCTGCTCCAAGTACCTGGGGTCCAGGAGCAGATAAGTGAAGCTGGACTTCACAACTCCCTCCCGCCACCTTCTGGAGGGATCCGGCCGCTTAAACTGCTGGGCAAGAACATCCTCATCTGCCTGGGCATCTGGGATGCGGCCTGTCCGCAGGGCCTCAGCCAGCTCTGGGCTGTACCCTGAAAATTCTGGGCCTGGGAGGGGAAACTGGGTCAAGAGAGACAAAGGAAGGGGTGGTTCCCAGAGATGGAGGGAGAAGTAGGTTGCACTGAGAGCCAGGGGGTCTCCAGGGACTCCTGGAGGTTCCTTGTACTCTGGATGCCCAGAAGGGACTAACCTGGAGCAGCCTGGGCTTCTTCCAGCCGTCGGAGGTAGTGTGGCCGGCTGAAGGGCGTGATGGGGCCAGGGCTCTCACCAAGCGCCCGGAGTGCTTGCAGCAGCTCCAGGTCAGATATGGTGGGGTCCAGTGGGCATTGGCAAGAGGGGACGGGGTCTCTGCTCCCCATGGAGCTCGCCTCATCCTCTGTCAGCCAGAGGGCAGCCACATCACTGTCAAGGGACTGGTCATCTTTCTGGAAGTGGAATTCACAGGGTCCAGACGGTGGTTCCCAAGGGGGCCTATTGGCTGGGCTCCTGTCTGGGAAGGACTTAGAGGAGGGGGAAGCATCTGGCAAGGTCAGAGTCAGGGCTTGCAGGCGGGCATTTAGTTCTGTCTCCCTGCACTCCATGAGGGCTTGATGCTCCAGTTGTGGGGTACCCGAAGATCTTGGCACCCTCTGGGAGGGTTGGACACCAGTCCAAGGGTATGTGTCGGGGCATGGCTCCTCAGCTCCAGAGGCCTCAACCGCGGTGACAAAGGAGGCAACTGAGCTGCAATCCCAGCGCCCTAGGGGGGACCCCGAGATGCCATCTGCGTCAGCAATGTTAGGGTGGGCAAGAAGGCTGGGGGGTCCAGGGCTAGCCTTCAGGTTCATGTCCTTGCTGTCACCTCTGTCCAGTGCTGTGGAGTCCAGCGTCACATTGGGAGGTCCTGGGGGGCTGATATCCAGCCCCTTTTCCCAAGGGCCTGGGCCTGGAGCAGGGGATAAGAGTGAGTGTCAGAGAGGAGGGAGGAGGAAATGAGAGACAAAGACGGAAGTCAGATCAGATAGAAAGAAGCGGCTGAAATCACGAGGAGAAGGGAGCGAGTCGGAGGCAGAGAGACTGACTGGAGATCCTGGACATAAAACTCAAACGGGGAGAGAGTGGACATCAGAGACAGAGATTCGCAAAGCTAGATCAGATGCTAAGCATCCCCAGGCGCGCAGGCTCCACTCACCACCAGGCTGGGGTTCTGGGTCCTCGGTGACTGCCCGGGTCCGGGTCGGGGTCCTGGTCTGGGTCTCCAGCTCCCGCAGGATACGCACACAGTTCTGATGCCCCTGCTGCTCCGCCAAGTCCAGCGGCCGGAGTCCATCCTGCAGCGGCTCAGTCAGCAGGGGGCGCCCGAGGCCCTCTCCTCCCTCCCTCCCTCCCTCCCTCAGGGTTGGCCCTGCTACAGCCAGCGCAGGGGACCCCACCTGGTCGCGCAGCGCGGGGTCCGCACCCTGGCTCAGCAGCAGCTCCAGGCCGCGGCGACAGCCCCAGGCAGCAGCCACGTGCAGCGGCGTCAGCGCCTCGGCCGATCTGGAGCAGAGGCGAAGGAGGGGATCAGTAGATGAGGGAACTCGATCTCCGCCCCGGGTCCCGGAGCCTTGGCTCTCAGCCCCCTATCTCCGTTCTCTAGCCTGAGATACCACCCTTGGAATCTAGATCCTGCGCCCTTGGGCCGGAACTCAAACTTCTGCTGACTCTAGAAACCATCAGATGCGAAACTTTGATTCCTCACTTTGGCCCCAGCGCAACCTCATGCCGCAATATAGGTCTAGTACCCTAGCCTCCGCCGCTCTTGAACCCTCAAGATCCCTTCCCAGGTTCCCCAAGTTCCGCCCCCGGGTCCCCATCCTTGGATCGTGGGACGCCCTCTCCTGGACTCCCAGGTCTCACTCTCGGACTCGGGAGACACCTCCTCTGCGCGGCATACCTGCCCCAAGCCTAGACTTCCTCTTACCGTGCGTTGGGGTCTCCGCCACAGCGCAGCAGGGCCTCAAGGCAACTCAGACTCCGCGGGTGCCGGGCTCTGGCCGCCAGGTGCATGGCCGCCGCGCCATCCTCCAACACCAGGTTGGGGTCGGCACCGCGGCGGAGCAGCTCCTCCACGACCCTACGGTCAAAGGGTCAGAGTGGACCGCGACACACGCCCCCCACTCCCGCCCCGCCCCCCCGGGCCCCGCCCTCACCGCAACTCCTCCTCCCGCAAGGCCACCCGCAGCCGCCGAGCCAAGCCAGCCGCAGCGCCCATGCCCCGGGGGCCGCCCAGGCCCGCGGCCAGGTGGGCTGCTTTCCAACTTCCCGCGGCGCACTTGTGCGCACGCGCCGTCCCGCCCACCGGCTGGGTTCCCCGCGCGGAAGCGCAGTGCAGGGTCTCCAACCAGGCAGACCCACGCCGCATTGCAGTCCACATCGAGGTTCAGAAGCTTTAGCGCTGGCCCGACCCCGCGACACCAAGTGGCGTCCAGACAGGGCTTGGGGCTGCCGATAAGGGCCTGGGAGGGTGGAGGTCGCCGTGTGTGCCATTATCTCTCAAAATGGTGTAAACACGAACGCACCCTGCTGGAGGGGGTGGAGCTACGATCCGGGCACTAAGTCTCAGGGCATTAAGTCTCCCGGAATCCTCTGCCCAGGCGGCCTCCATTAGCACACACATCCCTGATGGTATATAAGTCTTCAGTTAATAGCTCCCGCTTGCAGAAGCTATGCGTCTCCCGTTTTCAGTCCCGCAGGGTCGGGAGCCCATTACTTCGGAGATCTGGGACTCTTAGGGCTTTAGTTTCCCCATATGTAAAATGGGAGAATAACCCCAGGTGGCTTTGAAGATGATCGAGGGGCCTGGCACACAGATGCCCAATAAATGCTCATGGGAAAGAAAAGCTGTTTCCCCATAAAACTATTTTTTTATGGAACTGAGAAAATCTAGCTGGTAAACTTTTTTTCACAATTTCTCATTATCCAGGAAGGCAACTGAATAGTGGACCTGTTATAAGTGTCTCCTTTCTCCCTTCCTCTGGGGAGCACCCACACTATTTCCTAATGGAACTATAAACCTCCCTTCCCAGAGAGGCTTGACGGAGACCTGGCCAATCAGAGCATCCCACAGCTATGGCCCATGACTGGCCCAAAGCAAGGTTATATGACCCAGGCAAGGCCAGTCATATGGGCGAGCTGGGAGAGCCCTCACATCATCTGGGTTGGGATTTGGGGAGTGGTCACAGCCATCTCACCCCTTTCCACGGGTTGGGAAGAAAACAGGGCACACTGAATACCAACAATTCAGGGTATTTATTTCACCCTTCCCCAGTGGCAACATCATGCCTGAAGCTGCCTAAGGCTTCCTATCCACAAGAACCAAGCCATTCTCCTTTCTGCTCAGGGGATGGGTCTTCTGTCACTTGGAACCAAAAAGATCCCAATTAACACAAGTTGATTGTTGTGGACCTGGGTCAGGGAGTCTCCGATTTTTATTTTGATGACAAAAATCACACAGGTAATAACAAAAATTACAACTGAAAAACTGGGAGTGGGATGTGGGCTGGAAAACATGGGGAATGGCTGCCTAGAGTCCTTGGGATGCTTCCCGGAACCCTGGGTTTCTTTACAGGGTTCCCCAGGTGCCTGGGGTGCCTCCTGTGACCTACTCTGGGGGTCCTACAGAGCCCAGTTTGAGAACCAGTATTCTAGGCCACAGGTTTCATTGTACAAGAAGGTTGGATGTACAGAGATGGTTCAGACAGTGGCCTCAACCTCGGTGGCTTCATCGTCCTCCTCCAGCAAGCTGTAGGAGGCATGGCTTTGGCAGGGCCGCTGCAGTGGATGAGCCAACAGCTTGGCCATACAGTTGTGAAGCTCAAGGGCTGGCCCAGCCAGTGCCACTTCATACTTATAGCTGGTCCCCTTGGTGTCCAGGCTGCCCATGAAGGCAAACATGTCCTGTGGGGTCAATGAAGGGCTGTTCAGACAGAGGTTCCCCTGACAGGCCTTCCCTGTCTGGAGGGCTTCCCAGGAGGGGCCTCAGGGATGGGTTCTGAAGGGTAAAGAGGGGTTTGCCAGGCAGAAAACATTCCCTTATTCAGCAAACATTTCATGCCACCCACCTAGTGCTAGAACCCCAAAAGGTCTCAGTGCTGGAGCCCCTGGTCTGGAGAGGCATGGTTGGATACAATGATCCCCAGCCCCCATGTTGATCTTCCTTGAGGAGCAGGGAAGGCTTCCCAGAGTAGGGACTTCTAATTTGGGTATTGAAGTATAAACAGGAGCTGGGCTCAACTCCTCTGGCTAACAGCTGGGTAAACTGATGCTCAAAGAGATAAGTGCCTGACTCCATGTACCAGTTAGTTCAGGGCTGGGATGTAAAGAACCAGCAGAACCTCACAAGGCAAGAAGGCAGCAGGCACAGAGAAAGTAATGGCAACAAGAGAGGGAAGCCGTGAGGAAGTGGACAGGACCCTACATGCTCCTGAGCCATTGTCCCAACAGCCCCATTAATTCACTGCAGAAATGTGGGAATGGTTGCTGAGTGACCATGATCCAGCAGGGCCAGGGCTGCAAAATGGAGGTGTTCCCCCCACCCCCTACACTAGGGCAGGTGGATTCTGAGACATCCCATCTACACCTACACCCTCTTGCCACCCACACTCACAGCAGTCTCTCACCTTCCAGCTCATCTCCTCCTCCTTCTCATCGGTGCCATTGTGGATGTAAACAACATCAAAGAAGAAATAAGGGCACTGGAACATTTTCTGCAGGGGGAGGAAAGCGAGCCTTTGGGACTTGGGTCACCCCAGGCCCCCAAGACCACAATTCCCCAGCTTCTGCCTTAGGCTCTGGGAACTGGTCTCAAGGCACCCCAGCTCCTATGATCAGGAAGTCCCTCCTGGGATCTAACCACCATCCTGCTGGCTGTAGGCATCCCTCCCTCTCCCAGGCCTTGCTCACCTTCATGGGTTCTGTCAGGGAGAACTGAGGCTGGCAGGGTGGACGGCTATAGACAAGGATGGTGCGGACCACGTATGGTGGTGGAATCGTCTGCACATTCTCCGTGACTGGCAGCTCAGTCTTCTGTTGGCTACACAGGGGGAAGGAGGGAGGACGGGTCAGAGCACACCTTGATAGCCCACTCCTCTCATCACACTTGGGGGCCCCACCTGACCCCTCCCAAGTTCACTGTTGCCTCTGAGCTTTCCCACATGCTGTTCCCTGTGCCCCAGCACCTCCCTAGCTTGGCCTTTCTGCCTGGCCTCTCCTGCTCCATCAGAGGCTTTGTTGACCCCAAAGCTAGAGCCTGCTCCAGCCATCCTCAGCACCCTGAGCATCCCCCATCACTGCGTTGAGCTGGACCCGCCCTACCAGGCCAGGAGACTCTTAGGCAGGGACCACATCTTATTTTTTTTTACCCCTGCATGGGACCACATCTTATTTGTTAAGTCAGCACCCAGTTCCCCACTCAGCCACAGGTGGATCTCATGTTGAGCAGAGGACACTAGGCAGACAAAGGGCTAATACCCTTAATATGTAAAAAGCAAATCTGATCAACAAAAACAAAGCCAACAGCCTTCTAGAAAAATAGGTAAAGGGGACGAATAGACAAATTACTGAAAGAATAATGAATGGCTTTAAAATGAATGAAAAGAAAAGCACAGCAAAGCAAGATGTGGCCTCTTCCCACCTATCAGATGGGCAGAACATTCAGCAGTGTGGTCAACCCTGGTGCTGGGGGAGATAAACAGGGTTAATTTCCTGGGAAAGTACTTTGGCAAAGTCTAGCAAAATTAAAAACACACACCTCCTTGTTCTTGCATGTCTTTCATTGGGAATTTATCCCATAGATTCACTTGCAAAATCTGCCGAGATGGTTGTACCAGGCTAATCATGGCAAACAAGGCAAAACACACTCCACAACCACCATCAGGGGGCTGACAAAAAAAGGGCTTGGATTCCTTGGGCCCACAAGCTGAGTTTTGTTTTGTTTTTTTCATTTTTAAACTGTTGGGAAGAAAGAAACTCAAAGGGAGACTATTTTGCCACATGTAGAAATGATGTGAAATTCAAATTTGTGTCTGTGAATAAAGTTTTATTGGCTCATAGCCACGCCCACTTGGAGGCATCTGGTCTGTGGTTACTTTTAGATTACAGAGTCTAGTTGCTACAACAGAGACCACGTGGCCAACAAAGCCAAAAATATTTATTGTCTGGCCCTTTAAAGAAAAAGTTTGCTGCTGCTGCTGCTGCTGCCGCCGCCGCCGCCGCCGGAGAACCACTGGGCTGTTACAGAGTAAAGGACAGCAAGACTTGAGAAAGAACCTCTTTTGCAAAACTGCTTCCAGACAGGTCAGTGAGCAGTTGTTCCCAGAAGAAAGGGTGGGAAAAGAAGACTTGAGGCCTTCCTAAATGTCTATTTCTGGGCTGTCTGGAGCTTTTACCCAGAAGGGGTGGTGAACAATAAGTTCCCCCGGGGGGACTTACATGAGGCTGAAGAGACCTTCCAGATCTGGTGGGAACGCTAAGGAGAAGACTGGTGGCAGCAATGCGCGGGTAAGCAGGGAAAGGGGGCTTTCCTCCTCCTGATGCCAGGAGAGCACAGATGCCTCTGAGCCTATTGCCAGGAGACATGCTGTGTAACCCTAGCCTGGTTGCTTGCCCTCTCTGAGCCTGTTATTCCCTCAATACAGAACATGAACTAGAGGGCCAGCATCAAATGTCCTGAAGACCCTTAGTGACTGAAAGCCCCCTTCCCCACGGGGCTCGAGCCATCCTCCTCTCATGAAAGAGCCATGGGTGTCCCTGTCCCCGTCTTCCCAACACATTGTTTTCTTTGTAACTCACTGGGATCATATTATATCGAAGTTCTGGGCTGCAATGAGCCTTTAAGATTCAGGTTAAAGGGGCAGAAGCAGTGATTGAGACTTCTCAGTCACATATGGCCATTTATTGTGCACCGATTGTGTACTTGGCCCTTCCTGAACTATTCCCTGTGTGGATGCACTGTTGATCTCTGGAATCCAAATCAGCAATTTTTGCTTCTGTACTCTATCTTCCCAGTGACCCTGTGGGATGGGGGTTCAGGCTTCCCATTTTACAGATGAAGAAACAGGCTTAGAAGGGTGACTGGCTCAAGCCTGACGTGGTAGAACTGGGATCGGGATCTGAGCTGGGCGAGCCCCCACCCGCCACTGCTGCTCCTGGAGCCCTCTGCATGGAAGGATACTGAAGGTGGAGCAGGAAGCCGTCTCCAGGTCGTAGAGGCAGCTGCAAAGCTCTCGGGGGTCAGAGGTCAGGCCGGACAGCTGCCAGGAAGCACGAGACTCAGCGAGGGGTGCCCTTGATCCCCAGGGGACCCCAGGGAACCCGGCCGTGCCCCAGCCTCACCCAGGCGGTGTCATCGTTCACCACCACCAGCGCGAACTCATGGCTCTTGTCGATCTTGTGTTTTGTCCGCACGAACATCTCGATCATTTTCTGGGAGACGTTGAGGGCATTGGTTTTGGAGCTGGGGGTGGCCAGAGAGTGAGGGGGTGCTTAAGCCCCAGGTAATGCAGCAGGAGGGTGGCAGAGCCCTGGTGCGAACCCATCCCAGCTGACCCTCTCCTCATGGGTCCCTGGGGCCAGCCTGGGTCTCACATCTGATCCTTGGGAGAACCCCCACCTTGGCTCAGCCATGGGTCATCAGGAGTGCCAAGGAGGGGAAGGGGGGCTCATCCTTGGCATCTCCCAGAGCTCCTTAGGCTCCTTCCAGGCCCTGCTGCCTGACCCCAAAGAGACCTAGCTGCTCAGGGCAAGGGCTTTGGGGTCAGCCAGGCCTTGGTCTGAGTTTGGCTCTGCCCACTGGCTGTGAGGCCTGGGCCCAGTCACTTTGTTTCTCAGATTTTTCAAGTCATTGCTGTGATACACAGCATGTGACAGCTCTTGGAACAGAGCCCCAGTGGGCCACAGCCGTATCATTACCAGTTCTCACTGCTACTTGCCAACATCGCCAGGCCCCAGAGCAGGCCATTCAGTGTCTCAGAGAGAGAGCCCTGAGTTTTGGGGGCTGGGCCTCTCCCAGCCATGGCTGCACATTCAAGTACCCAGAGGCCCTCTCACCCATTGAATGACTCCAGCTTTGACAGCGACATTTCCTCCGACAGGTCCAGGCAGATGATCTGTTATGAAGTTGGAGTGTGGTGAGGGCTGTGGCCAGCAGCACCTGGAGACTGGACATTAACACTGGCCCCCACACCATCCTGCTGGCCCTCTCCAGGCAGCCCCATCTGAAAAGGCTGTATGATGACCTCCAATCCCCAATCAAGCCATCCACTTTGGAAGGAGGTAGCTCAGGGAACAGAGCACTCGACTAGGAATCCTAGTTGATGAGTGAATAAATAACCCAGAGAACATTTAACACACAAAGAGGAAAACAGAGTGGGTTGAACCATGGCCCTCCAAAAGACAGATCTACCAAAAGCATCAGAATGTGAATTTACTTGGAATTAAGATCTTTGCGGATGCAACCAAGGGAAAGATCTTGATATAAGTCATGCTGATCTAGTGAGAAGTGTCCTTATAAAAGAAAAGAGGAGACTTGGAGACATAAAGGGGAAGGCTAGGTGCAGAGACAGAGATGGCAGTGATGCGGCCACAAGCCAAGGAACAACTGGAGTCCCCAGAAGCTGCCAGAGACAAGGAAGGCTCCTCCCCTGGTGCCTCCAGAGGGAAATGACACCTTGATTTTAGACTTCTGGCCTCTAGAACTGTGAGAGAATACATTTCTGTTGTTTTAAGTCACTTAATTTGCAGTCATATTTCGTGACAGCCTTAAGAGTCTAACACAAAAGGACTGTTTATAAGTGAATCCTGAAAGACGAGAATGCTTAACCCAAGGTTCCCTAATGCCTCAAGGCCACAGACCAAGCCATCACTTACCACTTTCTCTGGACAGTTGACCCTTGGTGTCCGCACTTGGACCTCTGGGGCTGGCTGAGGCACCTGCCATGGCTTGGGGCCAGCTCCGGGAGGGTTGGGGGTCCCGTCCTCAGCACTGGCAGCCTCACCCTCACCCTCGCTGCGGCTGCCCACACTGGCCTGGGCCCCCACCGCCCGGTCCTCAGCCCCCTCAGGGTTGGAGCGGGTGCGGGGCCTGGGCTCCGTTGACTGTTCCTCTTCCTCCTCTTCCTCCTCCTCCTCTGTGGGACTGCTGGGCTCTGCCACCTCCATGGCTCCTGAGTGGCAGGATGCAGCAGGAACGGAGGAAGCCAGGATCTTTTCCTTAGGGGTTTTAAAAGCATTTGGTTATTGGGCAGAACAGGCATGAGCCTCTTACTGACTGTAAGAGTTGCTCCTCTCAGGAACTCAGTTTCTTCATCTGTAGAATAGGTGCCTTTTACACTTATCAGCCCAGCATCCACTCTGACTTAAGGTAACAGTCTCCCATTTTTTCTGTAGGGCTAACTCTACTCCTCCCCCTCTTAGCTAGTGAGCACATCTGGCCACTGTGAATGGCTCAGAGATGGGGACATGACTCAACACAGGCCAGTGAGGGGTAGCTCTGGGACTTCGAATAGTTCTGTTAGAGAAGAGGGACTCGTTAGAATCGCAGAGCTGGGAGGTTACAAGTCGAGAGCTACTAGGAGCCTCTTTGCCTCCAAGAGGGGAAAGAGAGCCTGCCTGAAGTGATGCTCCCCCAGAAAACAGCAGATAAGACGTCAGAGCCCCTGGATCCAGCTATGCCTAACTTCCCTTTCCTACTGAAGCCAGACTGAGTTGGGTTTTCTGTTACCTGAAACTGAAAATGTCTTGGTAAAGAGAGGAATAATAACTTCTAGGATTCTCCCCAGTGGGCTCTGGCTGCCGAGTGGGTGTCTGCACAAGGGAGGGGAGCAGATCTGAGTGTTCTAAGTTCCTTTGAGAAAGACCAGGACGCCAGTGGAACAGTTCGCCTATCTGGGGCTGTCGGGGGTGGTCTCTGAGCGCCTTGCATCCCCCATAACCTCCAAGGAAAACAAGGCTTAGCTGTAGCAAGAGGGATGGAGGCTAGACTGCAGGAGAAACCAGAGCTGAAGGCGGAAACCCTAGGGCAAGCGAGGGACTGAATTTCTAGGGTAAGGGAAGCTGGGCCTCTAGGAACGGATCCCGCGCGCTCTCACCACCCAACTGCTCACCGTAGACTGAGCCTCCCTCCAACTCGGCTGCCGAACCCCTAGGAAGCCGCCATCTTTAGCAGCCGGAAGTGGTGCGGCGCGGCCGCCACGCCCCCTGGGAAATGCAGTCCGACAGGCCGTAAGAGATGAATGGGACGAGGCTGGAGAGCCTTGGAAACTGATAGGCTGGGACCGTGCTAGAAGGCGGGGTTTGGAGTGTGTCAGAACTGGAGTGGAGTTAAGTGGGGCGGGATCTGGAATGTGATTGGCTAAAGTGAGATTAAGGCATAGCTTTTCTGTTTCAGGCCGATTCACACTGCGCTGGTCATCGCTTCTGCCGTCTTAGGCTGGAGAAAGGTTGAGTGGAGTGAGGCTTTTAATGGAATAGGCTCAGAAGGATGGAGAAGGCCTAGTCTGCCTTGTGATGGCCGGAGTGGGACTGAGTTGGGCGGGATTTAGAAGAGGCGGGGCTGATTGGTGATTGGTAGAGTCGACCAGGTTCCAAGGCCCGCCCAGCTGTTTAATTCTGCTCCTTCTTTTACATATATTTGCAAAAATTTAAAAATACTAAACCAGAACTCTTTCAAACCACCCTTGTTTCTTCATGCACACGTCTCCTTTCAGCCCCATAACCATTTAAAAACTGAACCTCAGCTTCTTTATTTGTGAAAGAGTCAGTTAAGCCTGCCCACATCAGGCAGGCTCAGGTTCGGTGACGGCCTGGAGGAGTTGTGTAAAATGAGCCTGGAAGGATGGAGAATTTGCTAGAAAAAACGAGAGGGGGAAGCTCATTCCTGGCAGAAGGAACCACTGGGCAAAGTTCTGGAGGCTTTGAAGAGCTTTGGAGTGGTGGAGCCTCTCACAGGTTAACATGGCTGGAGCACAAGCTAAGAGAATTTCCATGCCTCTGGGTACCTCCAAGTCAGAGAATTGCAATTTCTCTACTACCTCTGCGGACATAGAAGCGAGACGATATGGCTTCATAGGGTCTGTCAGTGGGACCAGAAATATTCACGCCGGGCTCTACACGGTTTAAGCCAAGTGCAAAAGGAAGGAAAGGGTGTTTTGGGCAGAGGTTACAGCATGGCCAAAGGCCCCAGGGTGTGAGAGAAATCAGAACCTTCAGCTGTTCATGGAGGAAGTCATTGTGACTAGAGCATGGAGTACACATTGGTGCCAGCAGCAGGCATCATTTTTTTTAACGACCTTGAATGCCAGGTTAAAGAGCTTAAAATGTTTCCCAAGGGCAATGGGGAGCCATGCAGGGTGTATGAGCAGGGGAGGTGAACAATGATATCTCTGCCTCTGAGGTCTGGGTGGGGCAGGGAGTGGAAGGGTGGCTGGGGAGCCCAGAGAGAGAGCTGGGCTGGCATCCAGGTAGTGGGGAGAGGCTTGGGCTGGAACTATCAATAAAGACAAGGAGGAGGCCCCTTAGAGGTGGATGCAGGAAAAATGAGCAGGATGTAGGGACCATCTGGGCTCTGAGGGATCCAGCATTGATGGAGGAGAAACAGCAGCTGGCAGAGGAAGCAGAGATGGGGCAGTCAGAGAGGTCATAGGGAACAAGAAGGGTGCATTATGATTCAGTTCCCGGATTGGTGCCGGGCATGTGCAAATTGCTTTTTTAAACTCCATGACCCTGTAGGAAGATAAGAAAATTGAGGCTCATCATAGACCATCACTTGCTCAAGGTTACCAATCCCAAATCTATCTGTGACTGAAACAGAATGAGAACTCTGACCCTGACACTGAAGGTATGAGCAGAGAAAAGAAGTTCACAAGGGGGCCAGATGAAGAGCATCGGCCCAGGGGAACATTCTGGCTTCTGAGAAATAAAATCCAAGGGTCAGAGTTGGAGGAGCCATGGGGTTGCTTGGAAGCAGAGGTGAGAGGGACTGACATCTCAAAAGTTGGACATGTGTCCTCCTGCTGGGGCTGGAGGAAGCCGCTGTCCTTGAAGAGGAAACTGCATGCACAATAACAAGTCACATGGCCAGGGGAGGGGGCTTCCTGTTTCCCGGTCCCTCCCAGGCTGGCCTTGGGCAGCCCAAGGCCTGAGCGGGCAGTGGCCAGAGTGACCCCAAGAGTGTCCAGGGACTCGTTCCTCTGACCAAGATGCCCCCAGAAGAACAGAGCAGTTGAATGGGCTGAGGGGACCAAACCCCAGGATTGGGTACTCTGGCTCAGGAGAGCCCTGGGGAGGAGAGGGGACTGTTAAAGTCTTGGTCCCAAGCCCAGATAGGGGAGAGAGGGGAGCAAAGAGGTAGTGAAAAATAAAGGAGGCAGAGGAGAGGGAAGAGGTCAGGGCAACCTTGAGAGGTAGTGAGCTGCCTGTCAAGGGAGGCATTCAAATGTGCCAAATCCACATTGATAATTCCGGATCCTTTTGGAGAAGGGAAATCAATGCCCATTTCACAGAAGAGGAAATTGAGGCTGTAATTTACTTTAAGCTGAGATCAGGCTGTGGTTTTGGTGGGTGAGGAAGGAGAAGGAGTCAGAGGACACCAATTTCTGGATAATGAGTGCCAGGGCCACACGGCCCAGAAGCCGGCGAGGGAGGCACGCTCTGCCCGTAAGTGTCCCCTCTCCTTGCCACATCTAGCTCTGAGAGACCCCAGGACCCAGACCTGCCTGGCTCAGAGCTCAGTCCTACGGATTATTTGCAGGGTGAGCTGGACCCTGTGGCAGAGAGTTCAGAGGAGGCTGAGGCAGCCAACAGGAGCTCTGAGCTGGGCCCGGTGCCATCTCAGGATAGCTGCAAGCCAGAGTTGCTGGGCCCTGAGGCAGAGGCCAAAGGGCAGAGCCTGGAGAGCAGGTAAGGTCTGATTGGTCCGTTTCCCCCACTACGGACCGGGCACATCTTTCCGACCTATAGATCTTCTATGACCCTTCCATGGGTCCCACTGCCCTAAACCTGACTTTTAAGACCCTGCATAATGCAGTCCTATCCTCATTACAAAGCCCCTGGCTGCCAGCCACCCCTAGATGACCCCATTTCCAGAACTTTCCGTCTCTCACCTCTTCACAGGACTGACAAAGAAGTTGATGGGGACTCTAGCAGGGGACCAGCCGTAGCCCCCGAGGGGCCCCATGAGCCTGTTGAGGAAGCCCACCAGGCCCCAGGGGCAGCCCCACGAGATGGGGAGACTCTCCTCTCTGGATTTGGAGCCCCCGATGTGTTTCAGACTCTCCAGCAGGCTCTGAGCTCCCTGGAGGCAGCCGCTGCTGCCTGGCGCCGCCAGCCCCCAAGCTGTCCTGGGCCAACGGAGGCAAAGGACAGAAGCGAGGGGGAACCGAGGCCCTGCTTGGAGCAGGAGGGGGCTGGGGGTTGCCAGCGGGAGGCAGCCCGGTTGGCTGAAAGGAATGCCTGGCTGCGTCTGGCCCTGGGCAGCCGGGAGGACGAGCTGAACCGCACACAGTCTTCACTGAAGGTCATTCAGGCTGAGAAGAAGATGCTGCAGAGAGAGGTGAGTGGCGCAGGCCTGCCTCCCAGGGATCCCTGAGTGAGGAAGGAGGCAGGCCTGGCATAGGACACATTCAATCATTTGTTCATTTGTAAAACTTTATGGAGCCTTGGCTGCTAAACCCCAAACGAAGGTTCCTTGCAGCCTTAGTTAAAGTGATCAGGGAGGCCCACTTGAATGAAGACCACAGAAGGCAAGGGAGGAGCCATGCAAGGATCCGCAGGAAGAAAGTTCCAGGGAAAGGGAACAGCATGTGCAATGAATCTGAGGTTCAAGTGTGATTGGTGTGTTAAGAGAAGAGTGGGGAGGCCAGTGTGGAGCTGAGTGGGAGGAGACATGGTTATGGAGGTGACAGGGCCTTGTGGCCGCAGGGAGGACTTGAGCTTTTGCTCTGAGTGAAGTGGGAGCCACAGAGGGTTCTGAGCAAGCAAGGGTACAGACTTGATGCAAGCGCCCTCTGGTGGCTATGACAGGAACAGCTAGTGGAGGAAGAGGGTGGAGGCACTGGTCCAGAGATGCAGTAGTGAAAGCTGTGGAGATAGAGAGAAGTGGGCAGATTCTGGGTGATGTTGAAGGAAGAGCTGGCAGGTATGGGTGTGAAAACTAGAGAGGGGCTGAAGATGAGTTGGGAACCTGGGAGACCGGGAGCGAGACATCGGGAAGCTGCAGGAGGGGCATGTTTGGTGAAGGGGAAACCAGAGCTCTTTGGACCCTGATGAGCTCGAAATGCCCTGAGCCATCCACATTGGGGCCACTAAAGAGACAGTTCTATGTCCGAGTCCAGAGCTCAGGGATGTCAGGGTGAGAAGGATACAAGTGGTGAGACTTGGGGCTATAGGAGCCCAGCACAAGGATTAGGGCCCATTTCCTGGCCGGGAAAGATTAAGTCTTTTTTTTTTTTAAAACACATCCCATACCCCATGCCTCTGGCAACCACCAATCTGTTCCCTGTATCTGTGGGTTCAATTTTTAAATTTTGTTTTATTTTAGACTCTATATATAAGTGATATTATATAGTATTTGTCTTTATCTGGCTGATTTATTTCACTTAGCATAGTGCCTTCAGGGACCATCTATGTTGTCACAAATAGCAAGATCCCTTATTTGTTATGGCTGAATAATATTTCATTATATATATATCCATTCATGAATATATACATATATTTATATATATGGATGGATCCACCAATCCATCAATGGAGACTTGGTTGCTTCCATGTCTTGGCTATTGTAAATACTGTTGCAATGAACGTGGTGGTGCAGAAGTCTTTTCAAGTTAGTGTTTTGGTTTCCTTCAGATAAATGGAATCTTTGGGATTCCCTGATGAAGCTGGAGCCCTTTCCTGCTCCCTCCTGTGACCAGGCACACTGCTCAGGCAGTGGTTCCAGAAATGGAATTGCTGGATCTTATGGTAGTTCTCTTTCTCATTTTTTGAGGAACCACGATACTGTTTTCTGTAGTGTCTGCACCCATTTACAATCCCACCAACAGTGCACGAGGGTTCACTTTTCTCCACACCCTCAATAACACTTGTTACCTCTTGTCTTTTGGATGCTGACCATTCTAAGTGATGTAAGGTGGTATCTCATTGTGGTTTTGAGTTGTGTTTCCCTAATGATTAGTGATGTTGAGCATCTTTTCATGTACCTGTTGGCCATCTGTATGTTTAAGGAAAGAGAAATCTCTGAGTGGCTGAGTGACTTGCCCAAGGTTGTATGGTGAGGGATTTGGCAGGATGCGTATCTCAGGGTCCTGCCTTCAAGCTGGGGCTCTTGCCACTGCCCCAGGATAAGTGTTAGGGAAAGATGGTTGGAGCCCCTAGACCCCACATTCCCCCACAGGTCCAGGAGCTTCAGGATTCCCTGATGAGGCTGGAGCCCTTCCCTTCTCCCTCCTGTGACCAAGCACGAGGCTCAGGCAGTGGTTCCAGCAGCTCTGGGGTAGACGGAGAGACCTGGGGCACTCAGGTGAGTGTGGAAAGCTAAAAATTCTGATCTTAAGATCCTTAGGGTTTGGGGAAGTAAGACTCAAATCACTGATCATGTGTTCCAATAGCTTCTGGGTCAGAAAAGGCCTAAACCCATGATGCTGGGCTTTCAGTGACAATCTGGGTGAATCAGTTCGCCTCCTTCTGGCAGGATCCCTTCTCCCTGGCTCACCCCCTACTCCGGCGCCTCCAGAGTGATTCCAGCACCCAGATACTCGGACCTCTCCCCACCCAGCCCCTTGCTCCTGAGATGCACATCATAGAAACCCAGATGGGGCAGCTCCGAGGGTAAGAGCCACAAATGCTGAGCTCATAAGGGCACTGGTGCCTCCCAGCTGGGATAGAAAGGCAGGAGTCTGGAGCTGGAGTGGGTTGGGGGTGGGGGAGGGTGGAAATCAATTGAGTCCTAACTGCCCTTCAAGGCCTCTCACATTTCCTCTTTCCCACCTCCGGAGGCAGGAACATTGAGAAGCTCAAATGCTTCAACCGTCTGCTGTCGGCTGTGCTCCAGGAATACAAGGGCCGATGTGAGGGCCTCAGCATGCAGCTGGGCCAGCGGGAGGCTGAGGCCACTGCTCTGCGTCTGGCCTTGCAGTATAGGTCAGTGCATTTCGCCCATGATAATATCACTGACTGGGAAGCATCCTCAGAGGATGGCCCCAATCTGCAGAGGGAGACAGCGCCCTTGCAGGAAAGTGCTTTCCCTCACCATGGAAACTGACTTAAAGCAATTTTAGTCCAAAAGCACTGAAGGAGTTTACAAACACCCTGTGGTGGAGGTGAGGGGAGAAGAGAGGGGCCCTGGAACAAGTGGGGATGTCACCTCCCCAGCAAGATGGGTGTCCTGGAGTGCTCAGAACTGCTGTCCCACAGTGAACACTGTGAGGAGGCATATGGGGCCCTCCTCACTCTTCGGGAGGCAGACTCAAGAGCAGGAGAAGAAGCCTTCATGGGTGACTTGGAGGTGGCTGAGAAGGAAGCTCAGAGGCTGCTAGTGCAAGAGAAGGCTGCCATGGACGGAGGGACACTGCAGGATCCACATCCAAGGTACCCCTGGGAACCGGGAGGGCCAGTGAGTAGGGCTCTGATTGGAGATTGGGCTCTCAGAACTGGTCCCATGTTAGGGGTTGGCATGGCTCCTGTAGTTGGCATGAGGCCTGCTGGAGTTGGCTGGTTGCTACTCAACAAAATCGGCACGGTGGTGACAGCCACTGGGCTTGGTGTAAGACCAGCAGGGTTGGCATGAAGATGGACAATGGTGCCCACTGATTAAGGGGGTTGGCATGATGCTGCCTAACAGTTTTGGCAAGTTGAGTGATGGTGCCCATTGGGTTGGCGTGACGGCACCCACCATGATGGCATAAGTGACGGTGTGCATTGGCGTTATTCATCACTGTTGGATGATGTTGCCCATTGGGTTGGCGTGACGGCACCCACCATGATGGCATAAGTGACGGTGTGCATTGGCGTTATTCATCACTGTTGGATGATGTTGCCCATTAGGGTTTACATTATGGTGCCCCCATGTTATTTTGACTGTGCCCACCATAGATGGCATAGGAAGGATGCATCATGGTCAATAAGACAGAAGAGGATGGAGCCCACCAGGTCTGGCATGGAGGTAGCACAACCAGGCCTGCCCGTGTTGACATAGGCCCCTCTTCTGTTTCCCATAGCCCCGAGGGCAGCAGCGTGGATAGGCCCACACCACAGGAGGTAGCTGCCCAGCTCCAGGGCTATGTCCAGCGTCTCCAGGAGCGCCGTGCTCTAGTGAAGATTCCCCCAGAGCCTGGTCCCCCATTGGCACCTATATCCACTGTGCCCCACGCGGAAGCCATGGTGCAGGCCATTCTGGGGACCCAGCCTGGCCCAGCCCTGCCCCGGCTGGAGAAGATGCAGATCCAGCAGGACCTGGCGGCCACACGGGTACACATGGGCTGTGGTCAATGTGTCAGTCTTTCCTGGTGGGACCAAGCCGTTTGTTGAGTCTGAGAGAGATGTGATTCCAGGACCAAGTGTAAGGGAGAGTTTTGCTTGTCTGCGGGCAAGCTTCCTGAAGGGAGGCAAATGGGAGCTGGGGTTCTGAGGGATGAATAGGAATTTGTCCTCTGGAATTCAGTTTCTTGTAAGACTCCAAATCTGGCTTTCCAAAATGCCTCTCCTATGGAAAAGAGATAGGCGCAGGCCATAATCTAGGGTATGTAGCCTGGCGTGAAAGAGCTGAGGTTCTGAATTTGGAGAAACTCCAGACACTCCCCCTGAGCTGCTACTTGACCTTGTCTAAGATACTTGCTCTCTCTGAACTGCCATTTCTACAGTTGTTGTTTTTATGAGAGAATATTTCCCATCAATCTAGATCATAGTGAGGGTTTGCATTCTTGCCTGACCAGCCCTCCGGGGGTGCTTCCTAGAGCCTCAGTTTCCCCAGCAGTTGACCCGAGAGGCACAAATTCTCTGCCCGCTCCTTGATCTCTCAGGAGACCCTGGCAGACCTGATGCTGCGGCTACAGCTGGTGCGGCGAGAAAAGCGGGCTCTGGAGCTGCGGGAGGCTGCCCTCCGAGCCCAGGGTCCAGCCCATGTGCTCCTGCTGGAGCAGCTGCAGTGGGAGAAGGCACAGCTCCTGACTGGTGGGGCCAGCAGTGGCGGAGACAGCAGTGGAGGTGGGAGCAGTGGGGACGAGGAGGAGTGGTCCCAGGTGAGTGGCTCTGCCTGGATCTGGTAGGGATAGCAGTATACTACTGGTGATGTGGTCCTGGTTAATCATAGCCTCCCTGGAGCCTCAGTTTCCATTTTTTTGCACAAAAAAACAGAGTTGAATGTTTAAGTTGCTTGTCAGAGTTCACGCCTGTACTTTGGGCTTTTCTTCCTTGAGGGGATTGAGCCCAGTAAGTCCCAAGGGATTTCATGTCTTCCACTCAAACCTGTGCCTCCTTCTTCCCACCCCCAGGCTTATTCATACTCCCCTCTCTCCCTTCAACAGCATTCATCCACACTTCATCTCTTCCCAAATTTTGACTCCAGCTTCCTCCCTGAGGCTCTCCTTTTTGCCACTTAGTGTCTAATAGTATCTATTCTCAGCTTAAAGCCTTAGCAGCTTCTGGAACCCTATTTTGAATCATCTCTTCTACCTAAGTCCTTGACATCCTGTAGGTCGAAGCTCAGATGTCACCTCTTCTGGGAAGTCCTCCTGGACTGCCTTAAAATGAGATCCTCTATTATTTACTTTCCTTTTTAGGGAGTAATTGTACCCCTATTGGGGTATCTCACCAGACTGGCAGCTCTGTGAGGGCAGCGGCTGTGGCTACCACAGTCCAGGTGATTTCAATGTCCAGCTTGGGCTGAGCACACACACAACCTAGACCAATGTCACTGCCATCCCTTCTGCCTCCCACAGGGCCCTCCTGCTGTCCCTGGTGGCAGCAGGGGTACTGATGGAAGCCAAGGGGGAAAAGTGCAGGACCCAGGGGACCTGGCCCAGGAACTATCAGCGTCACTCACCCGGTATGTGTCAGAGTCCTGGGCTGGGAGATATGCAGCCTGGGTAAGGGGAATAGGTGAGAGCCTGTGGGTGTGTTTTATACAGTGGAGGGCTGTGTGTACACTTGTGTACAGTTGTGTTCACATAGGAGCATCTTGGGCAGGTGGGTGAGAGGAGGGAATGAAGACAGGATTTGCTCTGCCTGTGAGCCCCTCTCCATCCCTGTACCAGGGCTCTGAGCCTGCGGGAGCAGCTGCAGTCTCTGCGGGAAGAACTAGAAGAGGTGGCTCAGAAGGGGCGAGCCAGACGTGCTCAGAGTACTGAACTGAACAGTGATTTATGCAGAGCTCACAGGTGGGTCCCCATGTAACCTCAGAAGAATCTCTGGCTCTCTCTGAGCCCCTGTGTGTGACAGGTTCAATCCATTTCACACCTCCCCTGTTGCCTGATGTGTATCAGCCCCTGCTGAGTGATGCTGGGATCCCAGGAAAACCCAATCTCAAAGAGCTCCCATCTGGGACTGGGAGTACATAGGCCCTATCTTGGGCAGAATGGGGGGGGGTGGCTATTTTCTGGCTCAACCTCTTACCCACCCAGTGCCCTGGTCATGGCATTCCGAGGTGCCCACCGGAAGCAGGAAGAGCAACGGCGGAAGCTGGAGCAGCAGGTGGCACTAATGGAAGCCCGACAGGCAGAGGAGCTGGCAGTGCTAGAAGCCACAGCAAGGGCCCTGGGGAGGCCCAGACTGCCCTGCCGACCTCCCCGGCCAGGGGAGACCTTTCTGTAGGCCCTGCTCTGGCCGTGTCTGGACATGCCAGATAGTTCTGGCAGGTCATGTCATAAATTGTCCTGGAGTAATGTTATGTCACATGGCATGACTTTGCATGTTGAGATGTGTTCAGTGTGATGGGGGCTGGTGTGCCTGGGTGTCTGGGGCCTGATGGGGGCTAGCCAGGCATTTGAGAAAAACTTGGTATCTTTGGCCTGACACCATGTGGCATGTGAAGACATGTCAGCAGGGTCATGCTGGAAGTGCTTGGGCTGTGGGGACAGGATCCCCAGGGCTGGCTAGGGGGATTCAGGGTTCAGTGAGGTGACTAGCCAGAGCTGAAATTCCAGCCCTCATCTGTCTTCAGAAGCCCAGGGCAGAGTCCTCTGGGGTAGGGCACATCTTCCCTGCCCAGCACATTCCCAGGGAGATGCTGGGTTTGGCATGGCAGATGCTCCCAAGAGGAAGATACCCATTGCCCAGAAAGAAGACTGAGGCCTGAATGGTTCAGGGTTTGGAACATTAGCTGGAAGAGCATCACTCCCACAGTGGAGGTGGGGGAGGAGGAATCAGAGGTGGCTTTGGAACTTACATTCTAAGAATGTGGACTTAAGATAAAGGGCTCCTGGGTGGCGATCATAGCAAAGGGAAAAAAACCCAACAATCAGGAACTCAGAGAGGTGCTAATGGCGGGCAAGGAGGCACACTGCGGCCCTCGAGGGCCTGGATGGCCCCTGGCTAGGCTGAGAATTTGCTTTCACCTGCCAGAGATGGGAGCTATGGGAGGTGTTAATATCAGATTAACAGCAGACAGCTGATTAGCATGTTATTTGCATATGCCACACCCCTCACCCTTCCACTCGGGTCTGGCAGGGTTGGAAAGGGGGGCTGGGCACGATCCAGTCACCCCGGATTAGTGGCCAGCTGTCCCCTCCTGGGCGGTAGCTGAAACCCAAGACGGGGATTAGAAAGATTTTCATTCCCAGCCTGGTGGCGGCGGTGGTGGTGGTGTTTCCAGGCGGTACCTGTGCAGGTGTGTGTGGCGCTGCTGCCTCTCGCAGCGGAGGGCAAGGCTGGCCTGACGTCGGCGCTAGTCAGCCGCCCAGAGTCAGCCTGGTCCTCCTGACCCATAGACGCCTCGGGAAGCGCTGGGGCTGGTGACCTTCGAACAGCACCGAGGCTGGGTTTGAAGAAAGCAGAAAAAGTCAGGCGGGCAAGGTCGCCCGGGGTGGAGCAGAAGAGCCGACTTTGCCCACCTTTGGTCCCTCTTCTGCCCCAGGGATCCAAGAGTGACCTTAGCCCCGAGTCCCCTCAGGCTCCCCGTGGAGGAGGCGGGGGGCCCAAGAGGAGACAAGGTCACCTGTTGGAAGGTGGAGAAGGAGTTCGCGCTGGAGGTGCGGGCGGGAGCTGAGGCCGCTGTTGGGGAGCGGGCGCCGGTTCCCAGGCCGCCGGGGGCCGGGTTTTGCGGTTCCCACGGGTGCTCCCGCGGCAGATGGGCCCAGGCCTCTTTGTCCCCGGTCCGCCGCCGCTGCAAGGTCAAAAGTCACCTCGGGGCCGCGGGCAGGGGTCAGGAGGGCGGGGCTGGACCTCGACCGCCCCACCAGGGCCCCAGGGGATGCGGTGACGGTGGAGCTACTGGGAGGGGGCGGGGCGGCCGCTGAGGGGTTGGATCAATCCAAGGTTCTGGAATCTGCGGCAGACCTTCTCCCCAGATCACTGTTTAGGAGCCCCCCTCCCTCAGACTTGTGTCCCTCAAACCTCAGTTCCCTGCCCTCTTCCTTCTCCAGCCTCCCTCTGACTCCATCCCCCCCGAGCCTTCTCTCCTCTACAAGTCTCCCTCTGTCATCTCTTCTCTGAGACACCCCCCCCCCAAATCCCCCAACCAAGGATCCTGGGAAGTCCAGACCAGGGACCTACGGCTCCTGTCCTCACCCTAAATATCCAGCTAACGCCCCCATATTCCCAGGCAGCCCCAGAAACAAAGGGCTCTCTCTAACCATCCAGGCCCTTTTCCCCCAGAGTGGCTTACAGGCCAGAGAACTATAGTCAGACCCATGGAAAGTCCGTGCTTATGTCTAACCCTAGTCCTTCTTGCTTTCCATACTTGCTAAAAACCTCCCCTACTTCATACCCAGCCAGACCTTCCCTGGGAGTGCCAGAGGCCCCACGGCTGGGCATGCATTGACTGGCTTCTCTAGAACCTTGATATCCTCAAGTGCTGCATGATCTCCAAGCATCTCCTGCCCTCACCAAGGAGGGTGCCCCCTCAGATGTCTTCTAGAAAGGGAATACCTTTTCCCAAGGACGCTCCCTGAGAAAAGAAGGTGTAGGAGCCCATGGGGGCAGAGGGCACTGCTCCTCTTCAGACAGCCTTCAAAGGCCCAGCCACGTGTCCTCGTGTCCAGCTTAGCCCAGGGCAGGGTGGGAGATAAGGCAGGGTGCCTGGCCCTGCAGGACTCCAAGGTGAAAGGTCACTGCAGGAAGGGCTTTTCCAGCCGGTTAAAAGTTAACAGGCTCAGAAACAGAGGCTAAGGTTTCCTTGCTCAGGGAGGCTAGGGGGCATGCAAAGGGTGCTTAATAAATACTGGCCACCCCTGCCCAGGCTCCTGTGGGTGAGGCCCAGGGTCTTGGGGGTGACCTGGCAGCTGGGAGTCTCTGGGGGAGCCTGGAAGAGACATCTGTAGTCCGGCCGGCCGCCAGGCCAAGCCCTTTCTGTAAAGCACAGAAAGAAAAGGAAATTAAAGGGGAATGGGGGCAGGCCCCAGCAGGGGTGGTGGGCATTCCCGTTGCCTCCAGCCTGGCTGGGCGGGTGGGCGCCCTGCCCCCAGAGGCCTGAAAATTCTGGCGAGGGGCCCCCTGACCTCGCGCCCCCGCCGGCCACAGACCACAACATCCCTTCCCCCCGGAGATTCCGAGCACCAGGTGTTAGCCTAAGCAGAGAATAGGTGGGGTGGGGGTCGGACGCAGCGACTTTCTGGAAGAGGAAGCAAACACAATCCATCATGCAACTGTGCAAAGAAATAGCCCCACGGGTGTGCGTGTGTGTGTGTGTGTGTGTGTGTGTGTGTGTGTGTTGCGCAGGGGCGTGCCCCCCCGTTGCAACTGGCCCCCCATTATTGCTTCTGCCGGGAATGCAAGGGGTGGTGCCGAGGGGCGCCTCGAGGGCGGTTGAACGACACAACGTCCAAGGCCGGAGGTGGAGGGGAGGGCCTTAGAGAGACATCTTGGCGAGGCTGAGGAAGGGCAGAGGGCAGCAGTGGCCCAGGCTCCC